AAGTTGTGTATGGACTCAATTCCTTTATTTTTTTTATGTGGTGCTAGGTTTGAACCCAGTGCCTCACACTTGCAAAGCTAGTGTTCTACTGCTGAACCACAACTCCATGCCCTCACTGTCTTCTCTTTATAGGTGAGGAAAGTAGGCACAGAGAGATTAAGTAACTTGCCCAAGTTTCTCAGCCATGGAGGCAGAATTTGAAGTCAGGGAGTCTGGTTCCAAAGGCTGTACTTTTTAACCACTGTGCTATATTGGCTTAACTAAGTAAACTTAACACCCACAATTATCAAATAGTTGTTTTTTTAATTAATATAATTCATTAAACTTTATATTCAAATTTACCCTAAGGATTAAAAATTATGAATGATTTTTAAAAATTAGGTTTATGGGGAAAATTCCAGCTGTACATAAAATTCCTAAAATATTTGACCAGCTTGTATTTCACTTTTAAAGCAGACTTTGTTTTTTAGAACAGTTTTAGATACAGAAAAATTGAGAAAGTGTATGGAATTCCCATATAAGCCTATGCCCAGTTTGCCTTATTTTTATAAGAATTAATGAACCAATATTTGACAGTAAACAAGAGTAATGCTACCTTATTATTGATCAAAGTTCATAGTTTATTAAAATTTTATAGATTTCCCCAACTGTCCTTTTTGTCTTTTAGGATCCTATTACAGTACATTTAATTGTCATGTCTCTTTAGGTTCTCCTTGGCTCTTAAGTTTCTTGGACTTTCCTCATTTTTGGGAGGAAAGTTTCAAGGAATACTGGCTAGATATTACATCACATGCCCTTTGGTTAGAATTTTCTGATGTTCTCATGATTAGACTGAGGTTGTAAAACAGTAGGGGAGAGATTACAGATGTAAAGTGTTTTTTTCATCACATCATCTCAAGGGCACTTGCTACTAACATGATTTGTCATTGTTGTTAACCTTGATCAAATGTCTTATGTGGTGTTCATCAACTCTTGCACAGTGAAACTACTGTTTTTATCCTCCCAGGAATAGGGTACTCTTTGGAAGAAATCACTATGCATACCTCTCTGAGGGCAAAGTTATCTACATAAAGCATTTAGTATTCTTTTACACAAGAGGTTTGTTTCTTCTCAATTTATTAATTTATTCAGTCATTTATGTCAATATGAATGTATGGATGTTTATTTTATACTATAGATATAAAGTCAATACTATTTATTGCTCCAATTATTCCAGCTTTGGACAGAGGGAACCTTTTCAGTTGAATTTTATACACCTTTGAACATACCCTTCTAACTTAAAAAAAAAAATTTATTGATGCATTATAACTATACATAATGGTGGGGATTCATTATGCCATATTTGTACATGCATATAACATCATTGACCACTCTTATTCTCCTGCATCTCTCTTTTCCTTCCCCTCCTCCTCCTGATCTGCTGACTCTACTAATATTATTATTATTATTATTATTATTATTATTATTATTATTTCAATTAGTACATTATAAGCAGGATCCATTGTGGTATATTCACACATGGACATAGCATAATTTGATATATTTTGTTCCCCTGATACTTCTCCATGCCCTCCCCTCCTTGTACCATCTTTATTTCCTTCTTTCTGGAACTACATGATGCTTTTGACTTCAGCTTGTATATTTTCTGCCCCTGCCCTACAATTAATCATTTCTCCAAGGAGTTCTGATGCCTTTTATTGCAGAATGGTTCAGATACCAAGACCTGTGTGCTAGGTATACTTGTTGCTACTGGAGTGTCATTTTTTAGACCCTCTTAGCTGACAGCAAAGAAATACATATGTCTGTGCTGATCCATGTGTTTATATACACATATCCATAAATATTTCTATATGTAACCATTTATATCAAATCGAATATCAGTTCTTACTGAAGTTTCCAACTTTGATCCATCACTACTTGGATTATTATAATCTCCTATTTATTTTATTTCTAAATTTCACTCTAATAATGAGATGCCTGGCTTCCACAATGTTACCCATTTATTCACTTGTTCAGTTCCAGTGTACATCTATAATGATGTCAGTTGTAAACCAATTGGAGTAGAGAACTCAAGAGTATTTCCTTTGCCTTTAGTCTTACTCATTTAGTCTACTTTCCAGAGTTAATTAAACCAGCACTTAATCTCCTAGTTTGTTTCTTCTGTCAATAAAATTTGATAGATGAATGAATCATATTTTTTTCCTGGAAGGCACTGTTTTCTCTCTTGCTTCTAGCACTACGTGGACCACTCTTTGTTGCTTCTCTCTGAATTCTCTTTGCCCTGATATACCCAGCTCTTTATCTTGTCTGCCCAGCACCCCTGCCCCTTGCACATTTATTCCACATTATAAACACATTTATTTCACTCTCGATAGTGCTGTTAATAAATTGAATACATTATGAATTATATTGGAATTTTTTTTTATTTTTATGCTATAGATAGCATTTCATTTTGGTGTCTTAACATTTCTGAAAAATGAATAATTTGTTTAATGATTATCTTTCAACATTTCTTCAAAACACGAATATACATTTAATTATAACACCACATTTAAAAATATTTTTGGTTTTTAAGCTGAACTGTTTCAGTAGGGAGGCAGTATAACATTAAGAGCATGGATTCTGGAATTAGGTGTGCTGACTTTAAATTATGGCTCTACAGTTTAATAAATCTGCACAATGGAGAATTTGGGGTTTTATAACTAATAGGATCATGAACATTAAATGGGACAATATATCTTTTAAGCATGTTTAAGAGTGTCTATCATATACTGAGCACTTAAATAAATATTAACCATTAAATGCTAATGCGATGTAAGGTCAAGGAAAGGAGAATCATAGCATACTACTATGTTTAAGATGATTATCTTTGCAAACTTCTGAAGATTACTTCAGAGGCTTAAAGGTAGGTTGATAATACATACTTGTTTGCCTGGGATGATAATCCACAATATGCCTGTTATGTTAGCATGATTATGAAGAGCATCCTCCTTTTTACTCACTAAAGTATTTTGGTTTGGACAAATTATATGATCACTTAATTTTCGGGGGCTATAAAACTCTTATCTGCATCCCTCTGACAGGGGTGGTATAAATGAGCACAGGAGGCTAGGATTAGACTAGTGGGTCCTGGGAAATGTGCACATCTAAGAGGATAGCACTGCTTCACTCCAGCTGCTGAGGAAGACAGTAGGCCTGGTATAATACAATCTTGCATTTTTTAGAGTAGGCAGAAATCTGGAAAATTTAAAATGATTCACCCAATTTTTCATCATTAGCAACTGAAAAAAATTTTCTGAAAAGCAAAAAAATTCATTAAAAATCTATGAATTTGATCATACATAATTTATATTACAGTTTTAAAATATGCAGGACAAATGATGGTCTTTCCATATAGCCTGAGAGTTACTGCTTCCAATAACTAATAATTCCTTAATGGAAAGAATTAATTCTAGTAGCATTTGTGTATGTTTTTATTTAACTTGTGGACAAAGACTTGTAGACAAGTGCAAAAATAAATCCTCTTTTACAACCCAGAACTCATTGTTCAGTATGAGTTTTGATAAATATAAGCAGGTATATTCTACCTAAGATAGCTTAAAATGATGGGATATTGATAAATGAAAAGGTTGGTCCTAAGATTAAAAGTTAATAAAAAGAACAGATCATGAGGAAAAAAAAAGAATTACTTCTAATGTGGAAACTGAACATGTATTTTAAAGCAAACTAGTTATGCAATTATATCAAACTTTTTAGAACTTTTAACATTGTTACCACATATATTAACTATATGATAGTAAAAACTGTAAGACAGGAAATACTTTATATGGTTATTTCAAGGAAAATCTGGAAAGCATATGTAGACGGAGAAAAACTGAAAAAAGTAGCACTAAATTGACCATAATTGTCTTTGAAATCATTAATGAATTAAAATGACCAAGAATTTTCTGAAGGCAACATAACTGCAGTAGTAGAAATAGAAGCAAATGTGTAGTAGGCAACAATTGTGGAATGCTTTCTAATGCCTTTCACTTGAAATGTATTTCATGTGATCTTTTGTAGCTTAGACTTCCAGAACTTTTTTTTGGATACAACTTTTTTTCCTTTTTTTAAGATTGCTTTAAAGAAGTCATTGATATACGTCTGGATGAACTTCTCGATGTTTTAACATCTGTAATTAATAAGCATCAGAACCTCAATTCTGTTGATATCCAACATGCTGCAGAAATGCTTGCTGCAAAAGTGAAAGGTAAGGATGATATATTAAAAATGGGTTGCTTGGTACAAAAAGTATCCAGTGAGACACTTTAGTTCATAGTGACTGTATAACCATCTCTTCTGATGGCATTTGTATGAGGTGTATCAGTAAAGAGTTATATATACTTGGATATTTAAATACTTCCACTAACTCATACCTACAGCTTTCTTCCTCTTAAAAATGAAAATTTAAGGGGGCTGGGGATGTGGCTCAAGAGGTAGCGCGCTCGCCTGGCATGTGTGCGGCCCGGGTTCGATCCTCAGCACCACATACAAACAAAGATGTTGTGCCTGCTGAAAAACTAAAAAATAAATATTAAAAAATTCTCTCTCTCTCTCTTTAAAAAGAAAAAGAAAATTTAACTTGTCAGTGAACACTGTAAAACTTCTAATTTAAACCAAACAACTGATGTTTAAAATTTGAACTTTATGAATGAGTTCACAATATATTGAGGTAGTTTGTTAGTGTACAGGTGTCTTTGTTATGTGAGGAAGAGTGGTTTTAGAAAACGTTAAATTGTAGCGATTCCAGTTTGTAAAAGTAACCAAGTGGAGAACAAGAACAAGACTTATTTTATGATTTGAAATGAAATTAAAATTGTAAAATAAGTTTAACCGATATATGTATATGAGTGTGAGCTCTCACATAGCATATATGTGCTAAAACAGTCAAGAATTGGGACTCTCCACTGAAATGGCTTATCACTCAAAATCATTAAAATGATTCTGGGCTGCAACATATAAGAATTGAGAGTGAAGAGGGAGTATTAGGTCAATTAGGACCTAATTGTTAGAAGTAATGGGCAAGATAAGAATTGAAGGTCTGATCTAAGGCAGAAACTGGGATGTGGTAGTGGGTAGGTTGTTGATTGTCATCTAGGGGGGATAGATGTGAACTGACAAAACCAGTTGAACATATTAGGGGTTATGGAGAAGTCTGGAGATGGAAAGTGTGGACCTGGGAATTGATGTATAGGTGGTAGATATTTTAAGTGGGAAAAATGGGTAGTTTCTCATGTGGCTTTTAAAAATGTGCTTAAGTAACCAGATTTGTTTTTAAATAGATTGTTTACAAGTGCTATTTAACTCTACTTAGGGAAATTTGTGTCTAGAGAGAGTAAATTTCCATGCTTGGAAATAGCGGCCTAGTTCAATAATTGTCAGTGGCTACTGTGTGCAGTCAGGACGTCATGGGGAAGGAGTGCTTGTGGATGGTGTCCACAATCCAGAAACAGATGAAGAGAATGGTCTCTCAGTTGCCTTGGAGATCCTTTTTTATCTTTGAGGTAAAGTAATCTTTTGAATATGATTTCCCACGGTGACTGTCTTTACACTTGGGATTGTTACTGTTTTACTTTTGCATTGGGTGAAACTTAAAAGAGGAAGATTACTTGTGAAATTTATTCTTTCAGCAAGAATTTGTGAGACTAGAAAACTTTAAAAACTTTTCTCTTTGGAGGTAGGTTTACATGTTTTTAAATAAAACCTTCTTCCCTGTCCTTGCTCCTAATGTTGAAGCCCCCTAAAATATATTGATATTGTAAATGCAAAATATTCAGTGGTCTGCAAAATGGAGATCAGAGCTTATTTAATTCTTTGATTTAATGACAATTTAGTTTTTAAAACCTGAAAACGCAAGATATAGGTGGAAGCCATTTTTAAATGTCTTTTCTTGCCAACTAATCTAAGTGTTTTGCATACTTCAATCTTTGCAAAAACCTGTAAATGTACATTTTTGTTATGCTTATTTCAGAGAGAATTGTTAAGAAAAACTCTTATATGGTAGGATAAAAAAGCTGTAGAAGTATGAAGATCATTCAGTCTTAACCCCCTGATTATATTTTAAATAAACAACAGTGACCTAAATAGTTGACTTGTTTAGAGTTCTTACCCATCAAATGCATTTTTCCAAATTTGTCAGACTGCCCAAACAAAAACAAACAACCTACCCCACAATACAGAATACCTTCAGAATCTGTTGTGTATATAATGTTTGTGTTCCTCAGTTCTGAATGAATGAAGTGCATCCATTTCCTATGCATAAGACATGAGAAATTGAAATCTTTAATTCCTCTTACTTGTTATTGTAAATATGAAATTTACCTTGTCATAACTTTAGAAGAAAAATTCTTAGTTTTCCCCCATTCATTATAGTAATGATTTGTATTTCCTTCATCTCCTTCTGTTTCCAAGCAGGAAGTTCAGTCTGACAAAATATTTGCAATGTGGTAAGAGAGATACAGGCTATTTTTGAAGCAGAAAAGGACATTTTCAGAACTCAGGAATTTATGCTGCATTTAGTAGTTGTATTTTAATTTATTTAGGAAAATTTTAATATGTAATAGAAAAAGAGGTTTTATTTAGGTTTTTCATGATCTGAATTTTGCCCTACATTTATAAATTGGCAAGAAGAAAAATAAGCCTTAATTATACCCCTAAGATTATAGAAGTTTCATGTTTTCTTTCTATTCTTCAAACTTGATTTTTTCAATATGCAGTTCATACACACAATTAAATGCAAGTTGTGTAAGAGGGTATTCACCAATGAATTTTTTTTTTACCTAAACCTCTTTGCCTACCCATATCTTTCCCTAGATAAGCAATAACTACTACTGCTTTCTTGTGCATCTTTCCAGAGATATATTATACATATACAAGCAAATATATGCATGTATTGTTAAATTCTGACAAATGCACATTCCTGTGAAAACGTCATTATAGTCATGATAATGCTTACTCCCATTATAATCCTCTACCTCCTCTTTCACAAATTTTGGTCTTTTATTTTCATTCTCATTTGGTTCAAAATACTTTCTAATTTCTCTTCTTTTTTGACACATGGGTTATTTAGAAGTTTGAGATTTAATTTTCAAGTATTGGGGAATTTCACAGAACACTTCTATTATTTATTCTTGTTTTAATTCCAGGTAGTTGCAGAACGTGTTTTGTCTGATATGAATATTTTCAAACTCAGTGTGAGACATGTTTTATGGTCTATAATATGAACTGTGTTGGTAAATATTTATTTGAAAAAAACTTGTGTTTGCTGTCACTAAGTGGAGTGCTCTATAAATGTCCGTTTTGCCAAGGTGGTTGACAGTATCATTCAGCTCTTCCTACACTTACTCATTTTCCATCTGTGTGTTCTGTCAGTTGCAGGGAAGGCTATTAAAATCTCTGGCTATCTTTGCTTCATGCATTTTGAAGCTCTGTTTATTGGATGGATGCATAAATGTATAGAATTGTTAGGTCCTCTTGATAAATTGACTCCTTCATAATTATAAAACAAGGTTGTATCCATCTGTGACTCCCCACCTCACTGCCCCCTGTAATTTCCTTTGCTTGTGAATCCATACTATGTAATATTAGACAGTAAAGTCAGGCAGTTGTAAGTTACCATGGTGTTTCTTGTCTGTCAGGGATTACTGTCTTTTATTGTCAGATTATACAGGGTCTTGAAAAATGTTGCTTCTTAAATTTTATATAGTTTTTTTTTTCAGTTATTTCAGGCATAATTATAACCTGTTTCTTGGTCAGAACAGAAGTCTTAAGAGTGTTTCAAAAATGATTTGCAATGATTCTTAGTTTTTCTTTTTGTTGGTATTAGGGATATTTAGAAGAATATGATGAACTGTGTGGACACCCCACCCCCGCCCCAATCTACGAAGATTTATACATGTAAAATCTGATTGTAATCTCATGGAGTTTATAGGCTAAAGGTTTAATTCATCCAAATCTAGTAGTACTTGCTTTCCAACTCTGTTTGCATATTAGAATCACTTGGGAGAGCTTTTGGAAAAATATCTGTGCATTAACTCCAGACCTTTTTTTTTTTTTTTGTACCAGGGATTGAACCCAGAGGTACTTAACCACTGAGCTAGATCCCCAGCCCTTTTTCATATTTTAGTTAGAGACAGGGTCTCACTAAATTGTTTATGACTTCACTCAGTTTCTGAGTCTGGCTTTGAACTCAGGATCCTCCCACCTTAGCCTTTGAAGCCACTGGGAGTATAGACATGCACCCCTGAGCCCGGCTACTATAGACTTCTCAAATCTGAATCTTTGGTTGATGGGGCTGATTTTGTTTTTAAGACTCCTCATTCAATATTTAAAATGATTGGTAAAGCAGAGGATGGCTTCTTCTCCACATGGTTTCTCTACCTGCACCTTATTGGTAGTATACTAGAGAAGGTGGGTAATAAGGAATCATTTGCTCCTTATTACCAGCCTGAGTAACATGGTTTATTTACTTCAAGGAAAAAAGCTTCAGATTTTGTCTTAGTAAATTGTATTTGGGCTTTTATCAAGAGTGCGTACAGAAGTTAAAAGAAGGGGCTGGGGATGTGGCTCATGCGGTAGCGCGCACGCCTGGCATGCCTGTGGCCCGGGTTTGACCCTCAGCACCACATACAAACAAAGATGTTGTGTCCGCTGAAAACTAAAAAATAAATAATAAAATTCTCTCTCTCTCTCTCTCTCTCTCTCTCTCTCTCTCTTTAAAAAAAAGTTAAAAGAAACCCTTTTAGTTGTTTCATGATTTGCATTAAAAAATAAAAAAAGTCTCTATTATAATCAAAAGACAGCTATATGTCAATTAACATAGATCTCAGGTCCCAAGATCCTATTATGAGCAATAATACTATGAATAAATATGAATTTAAATTCTCTATAAAGAACTGGATTTTTAAAAAATATGATATGTTGTATTATAGGTTATATATATATATATATGCATATAAAATTTTAGTTATTGGTGGTTCATAGTAAATATGTGCTTCCTATTGATTTCCATGAGCCACAATGTCTTCAACAGTTTTTTTAAAACACCAGAGAACAGTAAGCAAGAGAAAATAGTGCAGAACATTCTTCATGAAGAGGTCTGGTGTAACGGACTCCAACTCCAAAACAGATTGATTTCACATTAAGTTACTTTTTATATGTGTAAAATTATGTAAATCATGGAGTAGGGAATTTGGAATGCCAACTACTTTCATGCAAACTGATATTTTATGATTTTCTTAATAAATAACTGAATATCCTATTGGTTTTGTATATTAACCCTTTCAATTTCTGAATCTTTTAATGTAGTAATGATAAATTTTTAAAGTACTAAATGATTTTGTATGAATCTAGTTTCAAATATTTTCTCCATCATTTATTGTAACCAACCTTTCCTTATAGCTGTGATTTATGCAGAAGTTAATGAAGACAACAAAAATAATCTATTCCAAGAAGTATTTTCTTCTGTTGAAACATTGACATTTACCTTTGGGGATATGTAAGTAGAGGACTGTCATTTAAATGTACTTGGCTGAAGTGTGTTTGAGTACATTGGGTGTAGAAGTCATAGAAAGTAAAGTATTAACTATTATAACATACTATCACAACTTTGAAAAAGCCATATTTCATATTACTATATTGATGTATTTGGAGGTGTCTTTATAGCTATTTAGAAGCAACCTTCACTTGCAAGTTCATTTGCAAGTTCTCAGGTTCTTACTTAAAACAGATTGTCCTAGAATACATGATTGTAAAGCCTGTGACAAAGAAGCATAATGGTATGCTTTTTTTTTTTTTTTTTTAACCTCCCTGGATAGCTTTGCAAACTTCCTTATGGGACATGTACACAGACTGCCTGTTTCTCGGGAAAATAAGGTAGGCTAAGTTTATGTGAAAGTGAAACCTTTAATGTTTTTAACTAAGTAATTTATTTCCTAATCTTAATCTCAGAATTACTTTCATAGCGAAGTTTATAAATTACCACATTATGGCATGAAAATCAGACCAATTCATTTAAAATATGATAATATGATGAGTTTCTGAAGCAGTAATTTGATAATACTTTTTAAGTGGACTGAACTATTAAAAGAGTATGCCTGATATTTTATAACATAAAATGAATCCATATGGTATAGATCTGAAATATTAGAAGAGATTTTTAACCTTTTTTCCCTACTGACTTTGCCATTGACCTTGAGACTGGTGAAACTTGAAAAAAAAGAAAAATGGAAAAAGTAAGGAGGGTGGTAATCTCACGTACCATACAATTTTTTGTTTGTTTGTTTCTTTTGGCTAGGAAACACTTGTTAACCCTGTATATCTTAATTCTCCCTACCAGCATCCCTAGGTTTAGGGTTATGATTTCTAATTGGAAGAAAAATTTCTTTGGAATAATAAAGTGTCTGGAATGTATGGAGAATGTTGCCTTAAAGATTTATAATAGTAGGAATATTTTAAGTTTACTGATTATTTTTTTCACTTAATCATATTTAAACATACTCCCTCAGAGACATGTGTTGATAATTCCCGTTAAGATGATCAGATCCATTAGTGAGACCCTGTCTCAAAATTTAAAAAAGGACTGGAGATGTGGCTCAGTGGTTAAGCACCCCTGGGTTTAACCCCTGTTACCAAAAAAAAAAAAAAAAAAAAAAAAAAAAAAAAAAAGATTGATCAGATCCAAAAAGGATTTCAGCAAATGTACCAGGTACTTGTATTATATCAGAATAATATAAAAACTTAAGCTAGTGTAGTGGCACATGCCTGTAATCCCAGCAATTCAGTAGGCTGAGGCAGGAGGAGCACAAGTTCAAAGCCAGCCTCAGTAATTTAGCAAGAATATGTATCAAAATAAAATAAAAAAATAAAAAGGGCTGCTGGGTGCAGTGGCACATGACTGTAATCCCAGTGGCTTGTGAGGCAGGAGGATTGTGAGTTCAAGCGAGCCGCAGCAACTTACAAGGCCCTAAGCAACTCAGTGAGACCCTTATATAAATAAAATACAAAAAAGGGCTGGGGTTCAGTGGTTAAGTGCCCCTGAGTTTGACCCTCAGTACCAAAAAATAAAATTAAATAAAAAACTAAAAGAGCTGGGGATCTGTCTCAGTGGTTGAGTACCACAGGTTCAATTGCTGGTACCTCCAACACCCCCAAAAGAAAACCTTAAGATCTTTCTTAAAATGAGACAAAATATGAACATGACTACTTAAGGTATTTGGAACATGTATTATAATATTGCAAAAAAATTAGGACTATTTCTACAATCACTCATTGATAAACAGAGAATAAGGAAGAGTCTTAAAATTGTTAAATATTTTACTGTTTTTCAGTTTTTTTCCTCAATTTTACCTTTTAAAATTGTAACTGATTCTTCAGAAGGTAATAAAACATTTTATATGTGTAGCAGAGCTGTGCCCAATTTAAATTTTAGATATGAATCGTATTTCCTATTCCTGCTTCTTTAGACACATACTATACTGACCTTTTATAGAAAAATACTTTTCCCCTTTTTAAAAAATGTTATTCCTTTTTAAATTTTTAATTTTCCCTAGAGATTAAGATTAAAAAACTCATGATATAATCCTAATAATAACACTACTTTTTTTGATGAAGGTTTTTAAAAAATAAAAAAATAATAACTGCAATTCATTTTAATAGTGCTTACTATGTTCTCTCTACTGTGCTAATAACATTACATCATCTTAATTCTTAAAACAGCCTAATGAGTATAGTGTTCTTATCCTCTTTTTACAGAAGGGCAAACTAACCTTAGGTGAATTTAAATGTGTAACCCTATGTCATAGAGCGAATAACAGAGCTGGACTTTAGACCTAGGTCTTTTTGATCCCTTTTGCATTGAATCCATATATGCCTTGTATTGCCCAACCAAGTAGATAAAATGTGTTTAAGATTTAACAATTTTGATAGATGTTGCTTTCTAGCCCTGCTAATGGTAGCCACTAGTCACATCTTCTTAGTCTATTAGATACTTTTAAAATGTTCAAGTAAGTAGCTACAATGGTATATGGTATAACTATATGGTAGTTAATAGCTACCATATAGGATATTACATATATAAAACATCTGCATCTTTACAGAAAGTTCTGTGCTAAACTACCTAATAAACTTTCAAGAATATGCTTATCATATAATAAAATGGTAAAAGATGGCTGGATAGATCTATATCTTCTATTTAGATAGCAATCTATTTAGATCACTTCTTCTGTATCTTCTGTTTAGATAGCAATATATTTAGATGACTTCTTTGACTTCCTAATATTTGGGGGATATGCAAAATTTAAAGTTTTGCATAGATTCATTTATGTTAACTAATGCTGTTAGTAAATAATGAGATTGTTTATTCTTGGATCTTAAAAACTGCTGGGCAAAAAATCCATATAATTCTTAGAAAATGTTCTGGTATTTAAACAAACTTCTCAGGCTCTTTAAAAGGTTTTAAATACTTGAAATTCTTTAGTAGGAATTATGTCAAAGTAATGAATTAGGATAAAAATTTTCTGAAGTAGAGATTTGTTGTCTTTTGCACTAATCTTAAATTTGTTTTCTTCCATGTTGCAAAGTCTTTTGGAAACACATCTGTGGACTCAGTCAAGCCATCCAATGAACAAGGTAATACTCAATGTACTTATAATTTTTGTCAAAAAATTTTGCAGTTTCTTTCAATGAGTGTTTTGGATTACTTAATATCTTCTTGATTAATGTAACCTAGTGTACCTAGGGTACTCATTTTTAGTGCAAAAATGACATATAAAGATAAAAATATATTGTAATTTGAGGCCATTTTATGTTTACGTTGTGTCCTGTAGTTATAAATTTGTCTGAATGCTGCTTTCTTTAAAATTATTATAGACCATGTTTAACAAATACTTACTCTGATATTTTTATTTTCAGGAAATTTTTCTCCTATAGAATTAGACAACGTGCTATTAAAAGACACTGACTGTATTGAATTGGCTTTTTCATATGCTAAAACATGGTCAAAATATACAAAAATCATAGTGTCATGGATTGAACAAAAGCTTAACTTGGGTGAGTTTTCTTTTGGAGCATCTGATTAACTTTGGAGTGTAAGAACTAAATTGTTTATGATCATTTTCTATAGACTGTAAGTATTATGATTACAGATTAGTTGTTTCATTGTAATAAATAAAATCATTATTCATTTTCTCTTCCTGAGACTTTTCTTACACTAGATATACTTGTTCAATATTTACTATGGGTTGACCACTAGATCTAGAAGTCATATTCTAGTGGATGAAAAGAAATACAGACAGATAATATGGTAAAAGGAGATAAAAGCAATAAGAGATGTTTAAGCAGAAGGCAGTGAAAGCTTAAAAGAAACATTCCCCCGTCCTCCCATGCTGGGGATTGAGCCCAGCACATCAGGTAGGCTAGGTAAGCACACTATACTCTACCACAACTGAGCTACATTCCCAGCTCAAAGAAACACCTTAAAAGCTAATATTAGCCTAGAGTTTTACAGCTGAAAAAATGTTTTCATAGGAATTATCTCATTTAGTCCTACAAAACTGTGGGAAGTAGGCAAAACAAGAATTCTTAGCCCCATTTACAGATAAGATAAACAAGTGATTTTCCTAAGATCATATATCAGATTCAGTCATATAGCATAACTGGAAGAAAATAGAATCTAGCAAAGCCTTTCCACTATATAATTTGTTTTTAATAGGGAATGCTAATTAGAATCTCTCCAATAGCTTTAAAAAGGGATAGTACAAAGGCGTAGGTTCCATTTCTCAGAGAGCTGAAGTCCAGTCCAGTATATTTTGAAAAACTTTCCCAGTTGATTCTGATGAACACTTAAAATTAAGAATGAGGGGCTGAGGTTATGGCTCAGTGGTAGAGCACTTGCCTAGTATGTGTGAGACACTGGGTACAATCCCTGGCACCACATAAAAAACATAAAAACAAATAAAATAAAGATACTGTGTCCATCAAAACTTTAAAAAAAAGTTAAGAATGGCTGCATTTTATCAAGATGCACTCATTAGTATGTGTCATCATTTTTTCTCTTCTTATTTTTTGGGGCACCAGGGATTGAACCCAGAGATACTCAACCACTGAGCCTCATTCCCAGCCCCTTTTTATTTATTTATTTATTATTTAAAAAAATATTTTAGTTGTACATAATAACTTTATTTCGTTTATTTATTTTTCTATGTGGTGCTGAGTATTGAACCCAGTGGCACACACATGCTAGGCAAGTGCTCTACCACTGAGCCACAACCTCAGCTCCCCTTTTTAATACTTTGAGTCAGGATCTTGCTAAGTTGCTTAGGACTTTCCTAAATTGCTGAAGTTGGCTTTGAATTTGGAAATCCTCCTGCCTCAGCCTCCCGAGCTGCTGGGATTACAGGCATATACCATCATTCCCAGCTTGTAATCTTTTCAATTGGGGAATTACAAATAGAGTATGGAATGGAAAAATTACTTAATTTTGCCTTCTGATACCTTTTTAAATCTTTTCAGAATTGGAATCCACCAGAAATATTATAAAGTTGGCAGAAGCAACTACAACTAACATTGGACTAGAGGTAAGTGTTCTGTGAATTTCAAGGGTTCTATTTACAAGTGACTAATCAGATGACTCCAAAATAGTGCCTTGTAAAATCAGAAAATTTCAGTTACTAGAGGAAAGAACTTAATTGCTAGTCTTTTTATAGACAAATAAAATCCTTTTAAATTTATATGGCTGTGAATTATGAAAAAACTAGGAAATTCACAATTGTATACAAATATTGATTATCATGATGGCTGCTAATTTTCTAATTTATAATTAAAATTAACTTTCTTTATATTTTTCTTATAAATGTATTCATGAATAGTCATTTTTCTGGGAGAAAATAAATCTCAACTTAAGTTTCTCTGTTTTAAGAATAATGTGTGCATTTGGAATTCTAGTGCCATTTCTATTGTATAATTTACTTCTTAATTTTAAATTCTAGGAGTTTATGCCACTACAGTCTGTGTTTACCAGTGTTCTTCTTAATGATGTAAAGAATAGTCTCCTTTTAGAACAAAGAATTGCAGCTCTCCAAGCCAATGAATTTGTTCAGGTAAAATTAATTTATTTATATAATGCATGATTTTTTTAAAAAATAGCATATCTTTAGACAACAACCTTTTTCTTTGTCCTTTTAAAAAAATATCCTTGACAGCCTCTACTGGGGAGGAAAAATAAAATAGAAAAGCAAAGGAAAGAAATAAAGGAACTTTGGAAACAGGAACAAAGTAAAATGGTTAGTATTTTACTGGAGTTTCATGTACCTATTTGTGAGCATCTAAAAATCATCTATATTATATAACCATTAACCTTACTCTAGTTTTCTAAAGTACTGCTTAACTGTCTTCCTGAATTGCTAAAGAAACTTGTATAGTAGGGTTTCTTTCAAATTCTATGTTTAATATACTCCTTTCTGCATAGCTCAAAACAGAAACTGCTCTCAAAAAGGCAAAATTGTTATGCATGCAACGTCAAGATGAATATGAAAAAGCAAAATATTCTGTGTTTTGTGCAGAGAAGGAGCATCAGTGCTCATGTGGTGGATTAGCAAAAAATCCTAACAAGCAACTAGAAAAAAATCGCAGGTTGGAAGCACAAGCACTTCAAAAAGTAATATTTATTTTTTTTTTGTTATTTGAAAGCTCAATTAGCAATAATATGAAAAGGGTTTGAGTTTAAACTTGTAATATGTGTTGGGATTATCTAGGAGGCTTATTCAAGCAGCCTGCTTGGCCCACCTTAAAGTTGAGGATTGAGTAGGTCAAGGGTGAGACCCAAATAACCTATTTCTAACAAGTTCCCCGGTGATGCTGGTGGAGATCCACACTTTGAGAATGACTATGCTAAGAGACTTAAGAATTTGGGGTTTTATTTGTAAAAAAGTATTTTAAAGCAGTAGTTTAATATATTTTACTTGATTTTTCAGAAAGTTCACCTTTTAGGCAAGTGTGTATATTGTATGTGTTCTAATTCCAGCACCTACTTGCAAGTATAAATTAAAATTTTGTTTTATTTATGAAATATAGTTTGATAAACAAATTATGTGAGATAAACAGTAAATAAATTTAGAAAACACTATTTTAAATAGAAGTGATCACTTTATAGACAGACAATATACTAATTGTAAATTATGCTTAAATATTCATTAAACCCAAGTACACCTGAGTCACTCACCAGAATGATTATTATTTGTTATATTTAGAAGTATTCCATTTAAAATATAGATAGACTGTTTCAGAATTTTCATGAATAAAAGGCTTCTCAGTTATTTAAATTCAACTTTTCTGCAATAAGTATATATTTTAAAATATAAATTCTGGTGATCAGTGTTATTTTTTGCTTTTTTTCTCTGATATTCCTGAAGGTAAAAGCAGCAAACAAACTCTACAAAGTTTGTGTAACAAATGTTGAAAAAAGACAAAATGATCTAGAAAACACCAAAAGAGAAATTTTAACACAACTCAGGACACTTGTTTTCCAGTGTGATCTTATCCTTAAAGCTGTAAGTGATTTCTTCAGTATTTTTGAAGGCAAGAGGGGAGAAAAAAGTCTTCTTATCTGCAGAAGGGAGAGGGATGCCTGATAAAATTGATTCTTATGATTTGAGAATAGAACATATTTGAAGATTGGCTTTCAATTTTCATTAGTGACATAGTTTGATTTATTTTTGATCTGTCTCCCTTCCATGTCCCCTAGATTCATGATTTGCTTGGTTAAAATTGAACTGTGAGAGTTTGAAATTGCCTCTAAATCATTGTCTTTTTGCCTTGGTTGATAAATTTGATTTTACCTTGCAACTTCTGTCAGCTGAGTGACAGAAGAGAGATCTATTCTTCAAAATTTGAGTAAACTAAATATTAAAATTGAACCCAGTGACATATTTGAAGACAAAGCATTCAGGCTGCATTTGTTTTCATTACCTCTTTAAAATGTTTTTTTTTTGTAATATATTTACATATCCAAAACTTTCTTGGTGTACAGTTTATAAGTTTTAACATACATATAAATTTGTGTGATCATCACCATAGTCAAGATTTGAAACAATTTCATCACTTCAAAGATATTATTTTGCTGGGCACTGTATTGTGTAACTGTAATCCCAGTGACTCAGGAGGCTGAGGCAGAAGGATAGCAAGTTCAAGGCCAACCTGGGCAACTTATCGAGGTCCTAAGCAACTTAATGTGACCCTGTCTCAAAATAAAAAGGCTGGTGATGTAGCTCAGTGGTAAAGTGCTCCTGGTTTCAATCCCCAGTTTAAACACACACACACACACACACACACACACACACACACAGACATACACACACATACATACACATATACATATGGCACACACCTGCCATACCAGCAACTCAGAAGGCCAAGCCAGGAGGATCTCCAAGCTCAAGGCTAGCCTTGGCAACTTAATGAGAACCTATCTCAAAATAAATGGGCTTAGAAAGTATATAGCTCAGTGGTAGAATCTGTGCCTAGCATGTTCAAGAAAGATCCTGGTGGGTTCAATCCCCAGTGCCACAAAAATAAAAAAGTTATTTCATGCTATACCTTTGTAGTCAAACTCTCCACCTTGCCCTAACTTCTGGCAAGTACTGTTGTGTTCTCCATCTCATTACTTTCATGTCTTTCAGAATGTCATATAAATGTAATCATATAGTAGGTAACCTTTGGAAATAGGCTTTTACATGGCCTGATGCCTTTGAGATTCATTAATGTTATTCATGTATCAATAGTCCATTTCTTTGTATTGCTGAGTGGTAGTCCATTATATGACTATACCACAGTGTTTATCCATTTACCAGTTGGACATTTATGTTGTTTCTAGTTTGGGGTAATTATGAATAGAGCTACAAGAATATTTATTTACAGGCTTTTGATGACTATGTTTCCTTTATTTTAAATAACATAGGAGTGGGTTTATGGTTGGTATGCTAAATGCATGTTTAATTTAATAAGAGCTGCCAAACTATTTTCCAGAATGACTGTAATCCAGTGGTACATGAGAATTTCAGTTATTCTGTGTTCTTGACATTTGTCAGTTCCTTTAAAAAAATTTTTTTAAGTGTTCTAATAGATGGGTAGTGTTATGTAATCATGGCTTCAATTTGTTTCCAGAATGACTAGTGATATTATTATTATTATTTTTTTTTGTGTGGTTCTGGGGATTGAACCCAGGGCTTTGTGCATGTGAGGCAAACACTCTACCAACTGAACTATATTATTCCTAGCCTGAAATTAAAAATTTTTAAAGGGCTTATTTGTAATCTGTATTTTGCCTATCTTTAGGTTTTTGTCGAGTTTTTTGTTTTCTTATTGTTGAGCTTGCATGCAGTTTCTCCCATTTACAGCTTCTCTTTATATTTTTAGTATTGTCTTTCAATGAGCAAAATGTTTTAATTTGTATGGAGTCTAGCTTATTATTTTCTTCTTTTATGGGTCATGTTTTTGATGTTATATCTAAGGATAAGGATACTTCCTTCATCTAACCCAAGGTCACAAAGTTTTCTCCTGAAAGTTTTATTATTTATTTATTTGAACTGTGGATTAAATCCAGGGGCTCTTTACCACTGAGCTACATTCCCAGTCCTTTTATTTTGAAACAGGGATCTCACTAAGTTACTGAGGCTAGCCTCAAACTTGCAAGGCTCCTCCTGTCTGAGCCTCCTGAGTTGCTGGGATTACAGACATACACCATGGTTCCTGACAAAGTTGTGTAATTTTTCATTTATATACATGATCCAATTGAGTTACTTTTTTCATTTTTAAATTGGAGCTTTATAACTGTACATATGGTGGGATTTGTGGTTGCATATTCAGAGATGCATACAGTATAACAAAATAATTTGGCAATGTTGTTCCCTACTAATTACCTTTTCCCTTCTCTCTTCCCTTCCCCTGACCCCCTTTCTCCACTGATTTCCTTTCTATTTTCATAAGACGTGTAGATTGAGGTTTGATTTTTAGCATATAGGTGTTATATTAAAATTATACCTGTAGAATTTCAACTTACGGAAGTGATTGAGTACCAACACAGAGAGATCAATGCCATTGATATAAGAATTTATTGCTTACATTTTCTGAGAAGGCGATTTATCATAGCAGGTTTGGCAGGCAGATGCAGGAGTGAAAGGAAAGCTGAGTTAGAATCTTTATTGGGGTTTCCTCAGGAGAGGTAAAGTAACAGTTTAGAATTGGCTAGTTTGAATAATTCCGGTGGGCTTTGGGACACAGGAATGTTCTCTAGTTTCTTGTTATCTGGCCTTGGGATGATACAGGGTCAGAGGAAATAGTTGGCTTGAGGTAAGAGTTAGATCGGGAGTTGATTGGGCTACAAATTTGGGACTTCTTGGTTTGTGTGAAGTATGTGATCCCAGCTGAGTCCCTGGCTATTTTAAGAGTTGTCTAGCCCAAGGAGGGCAGTTTCTCCCTGGCCAGTATTCTTTTCTTTTTCTGAGACATTAAAATATCATATAATACAGAAAATATAAAACATGGTTAATATAGATGTCTACTTGTTCTGATACCATTAGTTGAAAACACTGTGCCATTTTCTTTAAATTGCCTTTGTACCTGTTTAAAAAGATCACTCGACCGCATTTGTGTGTGTCTGTTTCTGAATTCTCTACTTTATTCAATTAATGTATTTGTTTATCTGCCGCAGTCTGGCTGGGCACAAATGCCGCAGTCTGGCTGGGCACACAATCACGAGCCACCACACAGCTTGTAGATCCAAACAGCAACTCTTTATTCCCGAACTCACACCAGCCGTCTACAATCACGTTCTGGGGAAATCCATGTTCTCTGCCCAAATCCACGTTCTCTGCCCAAATCCACCTTCTCTGCCCAAATCCACGTTCTCTGCCCAAATCCACCTCCACTGGGCTTCTATCTCCCAAAAAATATTGTCTGAATCCCATGAGAACTCAAGGGGAACTCAGGCAGCAGGATACGCCCTATTCCCAGCAGGAATAATCTTAAACCTTAAACCTGGAACCTAAACCGGGAACGCCCTAATCCGCCTTGGTCCTTGAGCAAGGTCACCTACATTCAATGTCACTGCAACATGGGGTACGCTGGCAAGGAAATTGTCATACCTACTTGGCTAATGGCTCCCAGCATTTATCCTTTTGCCCAAACCCCAATATCTTGATTCAGTTGCTTTATACCAAGTCTTTTTATTAATATTTATTTTTTATTTTTTGGTGGACATAATATCTTTATTTTATATTTATGTGGTGCTGAGGATCGAACCCAGTGCCTCATGCATACTAGATGAGCACTCTACCACTGAGCCACAACCCTAGCCCCAAGTCTTCTTTTTTTATATATATCTTTATTTTATTTATTTATTTTTTTATGTGGTGCTGAGGATCGACCCCAGTGCTTCACGCATGAGGGGCAAGTGCTCAACCACTGAGCTACAACCCCAGCCCCATATATACCAAATCTTAAAACCAGGTAATTGGAGTCTTCCACTTTCCTTCTTTTTCAGAATTGGTTTTGTTTAAAATTCTTTACTTTCTATTAAAATGTTAGAATCAACTTGTGTTTATCTACAGAAAAACCTTGGTAACATTTTTATTGAAGTTGTTATTAATTCTTAGATGATATTATGGAGAATTGATTGTATATTTAGCATCCTTTTAAATCCATGAACACTATATATTTTTCCACTTATTTAGGCTATTGATTTTTTTAAATCAGCATTTTATAGTTTTCAACATAAAAATCTTTTACAGATTTTGTTAAATTTAAATCCGTTTATGTGTTATTGTGAATGAATTGTGTACACATACACTTGCAAGTTCCAGCTTAATAACATTTGGAAATACAATTAATTTTTTTTTATATTGATCTTATTATTTGCAACCTTGATAAACTTGTTTTAGTAGTTGTGTACATTCTTGGGGTTTTCTACATAGAAAATCACATTATCTGCAAATAAGAACAGTTTTATATTTTCCTTTCCAGTGTGTACTTCTTCTATTATTTTTCTTTTTAAAATATTTTTATGTCTTTATTTTATTTATTTATTTTATGTGTGGTGCTGAGAATTGAACCCAGCACCCTGCATGTGCTAGGTGAGCACTCTAATGCTGAGCCAGAACCCAAGCCCTCATTTTTTTTTTCTTATTGCACTAGATGGGGCTCCCTGTTGAATGGGGTCCCACTGTCAAATAAGAGAGGTAAGAGATGACATCCTTGTCTTATTCTTGATTAGGGGGAAAATATTAAGTCTTTCACCATTAAATATGATGATACCTGTAAGATACTTGAAGATATCCTTCAATCTGATTAAGAAATTTCTCTGTTTGCTAGTCTGCTGAGAGTTTTATCATTAATAAGTGTTTGAATTTATAAAATATTTTTCTATATCATTTGATATAATCATGTGGTGTATCTTCTTTCGCCCATTAATGTGGTAAATTAAATTGTTATTTGAGTGTTGATCTTACCTTGGGATTAGCTCCTCTTGTTTGTGATGTATTATTCCTCTTATATA